CGGCCGCGAAACGTCAAGTCTCGGGAGAGATGAAGTCCAGCATTGCACCTCCAAGGCCAGTCAATAGCTCAGTCAAGACTACCGCTACAGCAGGCGTCCGTACTTCCAAATCATCCTCCGTCTCAGCACCATCGACTCGCACTCGACAAAATTCGACCCCCTCCTTTGCCAGCAGCTACTCTCACGGAGCCAGATCTACCAAAGACACCCGACCGCACACTTCCATGTCAAGGCATCGTTCTCAGACTCCCTCGAACCGGCCGGCGACATCTATGGATAACAGCAATTCCTCCTCTGGAGGAAAGCGTCAGGGTACAGTACCGCCTTCTCTTTCAACCTATACTGCTTCAAGTTCCAACCCTTCGACTTCCAAGCACAGTCTTCGCAGAGCACGCAGCCAGGATAGCGGCATGGCCCTGTCGTTCCACCCATATGGCAGATCAGTTTCAGCACAGTCTTCAGCACTTTCTTTTCAACAGCCCCAGCCTGGTCGACTTATCAAAAAGGCTTCTTGGGATAGTTCCATGGGCTCCATGGAACCTTTGCGCTTTGCGCAAGCTCCTGGATCATTTGATCCCATCCCGGAAGATCCTGAACCTCCTGCGACCCCCTCTCATATTCCACGTTTCCAGGTTCAATCCGTTCAGCATTCTGGTCCCTTTGAATCCCAGTCTTCATCGTTGTCTATTCAGCAAAACCAAGCGGTTCCTTTTCGTTCAGCCTCTCCTTCGAAGACTCCCAAGACTTCTTCTTGCAAAGAAGACACGACTCCATTTTTGAACAAAGACTCTAACTTGCGTGCTCCACTTCCAGCTTGGGATACGAAAACCCGCCTCGACGAGATGGAGGCCCTTTACGGCGAACTCCGGCAACAGATGAAGAGCACGGCCAACGAGCGCGAAAATATCGAAGAAAAAATCGAAAGTCACAAGGCCAAGAGTATGTCTCTTTCAATTATGGACATTCGATGTTCTGTTTTTGAGCTTGTTTCTACGCGATACATGACGACCAGAAAAGGATTGAAGTTAACCCTGGCTTTTCTGGTTGCAGTTAACGAGCTTGAGGCCATTCGATCGCAACTCTCGACGAAGAACGACACGATCCGGAGCGAACTAGAGTCGACAAGGCTGAAACTCTCGCAAACAGAGGTTGCTCTCGAGAGCCTCAAGAATTCTCACAGTTTTGAACTCAAAGACCTGAGAAGGCAGCACGAACACGATATCAAGGACATGCAATTTGCGCACGAACGTGAGGTCACGAAGTTGCGCCTAGAGTCGGACAGAAAGGCGGAGGAGTTGCAGCGAAGTCTTGACCATCAGACTAAGGACGTCAAGGCCGAGTATGAAGAAAGGTTTGCAACCCTAAAGAGGGAGATGGAGGCCCAGCTGGATCAAGAGCGGCAGCAACGCGTCAAGGAAGTTTCGGAACTGCAGACACAGGCAGAGCTTCACGCTCAGAATGCTGGTGTAGACATGGAAAAGAAAGACAGGGAGCTTCTCGATCTCCGCCGCGAGACCGAGCAGCTCAAAGCCGACATTGAGCGGAAGACGGCCCTGGAGAAGAACTTGCGTGACAAGCTTTCGGAGTCGACTGCAAACAACATGACGCTCGAGTCGGCAAACAGCGCCATGAAGGCTAAGATTAACTTTCTGGAGTCTGACAGCCAGGCACAGTCCACGGCCTTTGCCGAACTCCACAAGCGCATGCAGGAAGCTGTCGATGCAGCTGAAGAGACCAAAGCCAAGCTTCGCGCTGAAGAGACGCTTCGACGCAAACTGCATAACCAAGTCCAAGAGCTCAAGGGCAACATTCGCGTCTTTTGCCGTGTTCGCCCACCGGCAGAAATCGAAGCGACAGAGACCGCCGAAATCAACTATCCTGACGCCGGAAAAGACAGCAAGGAGGTGGTCATCCAAGGTCCTGAGCAGAAAAGCGCTATGGGCAACGTGACTCGCTCCACCAATCCCTTTTCTTTCGACAGGGTCTTTGGTCCAAAGTCGCAGAATGGAGAGGTATTTGAAGAGATTTCTCAGCTTGTCCAGTCGGCGCTCGACGGGTACAATGTCTGCATCTTCTGCTACGGCCAAACTGGTTCCGGAAAGACGTACACAATGAGTTCATCCGACGGAATGATACCCCTGGCGGTCCAGCAGATTTACAACACTGCGCAGGACCTTGAGGAGAAGGGCTGGCTGTACAAGATGGAGGGCCAATTTGTCGAGGTGTACAACGAAGTTTTGAACGACCTGCTCGGCAAGGCTGAAGAATTCGATAAGAAGAAGCACGAGATCCGTCATGACGCGCAGAAGAAGAGTACAGAAATCACTGGCGTCACGTCGGTGCCTCTAGACAGCCCCGACAAGGTGCAATCTATGCTCTCAAACGCCTCGCGCAACCGCAGCGTCGCTGCGACTATAGCCAACAGCCGCTCTTCGCGATCCCACTCTGTATTTATCCTCAAGCTGAAGGGTGAGAATTCGATTACCGGCGAACGCAGCGAAGGCACTTTGAACCTCGTCGATCTGGCAGGTTCCGAGCGCCTAAGCCACTCAGGAGCTACCGGCGACCGTCTCAAGGAAACGCAGAACATCAACCGCAGTCTGAGCTGCCTCGGTGATGTCATTGCTGCGCTGGGCTCTGGAAAGGACGGCGCGCACATCCCGTACCGCAACAGCAAGCTCACGTATCTGCTGCAGTATTCCCTGGGCGGTAACAGCAAGACTCTCATGTTTGTCATGATCAGTCCTCTGCAGGCTCACTTGCACGAGACTTTGACCAGTCTCAAGTTTGCCACCAAGGTAAGGCTCACCGCGCAAATGCTGGCATTCGTAGCTAACAAATATAGGTGCACAACACGCACATTGGAACGGCAAAGAGGCAGGCCAAGGTCAAGGAATGAACCTCTGCCTAAACTTGTAACCATCCGGTCGGGATCCATCGCGCCTCGACGATCCGCGCGAAACATATTGTACAGAACCCGCCCCTGAAAAAGGAGCCAGGACCTCCGGCACAAAGGTGGAGAATGATGTTTTCTTGCCTCGGTTCCCTTTTCCATAGCGAGACAACACCTCTCCTATTCCCAGCTCGGCTCGCCGGCCTTGCAATGGACGTTACTTATGACTGGTGTCTGAGGTGTTTTGGCGTAACTTTCTTTTTACTTTTCTATTCACTTAAACTCTTAGGACCCGGCGCCTCTCAGACGCTGCACTGCGCCTTGTCCTTCCACTCGTATCGTTTGGTCGTTACCCCGGCTGCCTGACGGTGGACATCCAGACCAAGTATTGTTGGGCATGGGCGTCGCAGCGAGGTAGTCCACGATTCCAAGCCCTTTCTCTCGTCATTTCTTCGAGCGGTTGGGCGGGCTATTGAGTGAGCAGCTTTCTTCTTGGTTGGGATATCTGGATCGGAGTGCATTGGGTTTGGAGGAGTATGGCGAGATGGGAAGGATCGGAGGCTGGCAAGGGCGCGGATGGAATCGGGATCTAGGGTAGCGCTGCGACTGAATTGAATTGTTTGATCTTGTACTGATCGACGGATGGGCGCTGTAGAGTGCAAGAATCACGATTGGGCAAACGCCAAGTGAAAAACATGTTGCATCGGTGCTATTGAGAAGAGTTAAGTATACCACCCATCTTTATCGACTTCGCGAATTTGGGGACACCCTCACAGTGGGTGCAGGAATATATGAGACGTCCTCAGGGAGCGGTCGTTCGCGTTCACAGGTACGTCCAGGGACCATTCATCTGCCATCCCATCTGCACTTAACGAGCTGTTCTCCATACTGAGTATCACTTCTTTTTCCACCCATTCTGTGCCCTCACAACGTCGCGATCTCTGAAGCAAGGAACAGATCCGTCGAAAGGAATTCGAAGCTCGCTATCGTATGAGCTAGGAAATTTCTCTGTTTAGCGACGAACCCAATTGATCTAGTGAAGTCAGACTCGGTTGGCCCCTTCAATGAGTCGATTCGGCGATTTTAACAGTGTACGCACGAGTGAACCTTTCTAGCGGTTCCGTCCAAACGTTCAATCGCATCTTTTGCTTCCTTGCCAACGATTTTCTTCCAATTCTTCAAAATTGTTTACTCTAGTAATGCCCCGAATGATAGTCGAACGACTGAAAAGACCGCTCAACGACATGTACCGCGCGCGATGTTTTGTTGGTTGGTTTAAGCTTGGTAGACCTGCCTAACCGGGCTAGCGTCGCAGCTTCGATGCACATGTCCCCTTCTCTTGCACCTCAAACATGTTGTTCGATGCAGAGTCTTGCGAAATATGTCGGCTCGATGCTGTGTGAGGTTGAGGTGGTCGCTTGAAGAACACCGAGACTGAGGTTGTTGTTGTTGGGGAAACGATCTATGGGTCGGTCGGCAAACGAGGCTATAGACACGCGAGTTCCGCGAACAAGCGAGACTGAAGTTGTCTCTGATGCGCAAATTCAGTCTTGAAATTGCTTGCGAAACAGACATCGAGTGGAGGAAACTATACGCTTTCGATTGTGGGCAATGAGTGGTAGTGTGGAGAGGCGGAACTTCGCCATGGGATGTACCAACTCTTGATACATACAAACTGCGCCCGTTCTGTTGCAGTAAAGAAGCATTTGCTCAATCTACGAAGAGGCAGAAATCTTAGGCCCGTACATAGCATGGAATGCTAAAGGCCGATTCAGGGTGTCCATCCATCTCGCGCACTTATTTGTCGACCGGGACCCCACGTAGATACATCCTGAAGCAAGACTGCAAATGAATTTTCATCTTCTCAATGTCCCGCACGCATGCTTCTGTGGCCAGAAGACAAAGTACACAAGGTTCTACGCTTAGGTGAGCAAAAAGGGGGTGGAGGGTGTCACTTAGAGATTGCACGCTACCCCTTGCACCTAGAAGCTGTCCCTCGTTCCCCAAGCTTCTTAACAGTGCCTGAAAGCAACTCATTCAGCAAAAATGTGGAGGAGCATCAAAAATGAAAATCAAAGAGTTCGCAGCCTGTGCGGACAACGTATTCTAGTCCCACCGAGGATCGAACTCGGGACCTTTCGCGCTTCTCGAACACTTTTGAAAGTTCTGTGAAGCGAACGTCATACCACTAGACCATAGGACTTGTTGAAGACCGTTCCCAACAAATGTATATATATACTCTCACGTTGAGAGGGTTGTAAGATTGATTGATTGATTGATTCATTCATTAATTAATTGATTAATTAATTAATTAATTGATTATTTTACGTCTTACTAGAGCTATAGGCTATCTAAGATGGAGCTATCTATAGGGGATCCTATATATATTTATAAGGTAAGTAGGGATGCCCGGCTAAAGAATCTTATATAATAAGACATAATTCTTAGTATAATATTAGTATAGGGTAGGTATAGATAGATAGTTTATCTAGGCTCTTTTTAGGTAAGGGGGGGCTAAGGACTAGCCTTCCTACTATTATCTAAGTAGATAGGTGGCATAGAGTAAGAGTAAGGAAAGGAAGGGGGATAGGGAGAAGGCATATATAGAAAAGTAAATATAGTATAGGGTAGTAGGTAAGGTAGATTATATATATACTCTACTATAGTGTTCTAGTACTATCCCTAATAGTACTATTCTTAGTTAGCATTATATAATACCTTTCTTAGCACCTATAAAGGTAAAAAAAGCGGGTAAGGTTTTTAACTAGTAGCGTCTATCTTCTAGCTAACTAGTATAGTTAGCTAATACTTATTATAGAAAATAAAGAATGCTTAAGAACCTAGGTTTAATCTATATTAATATTACTTATAATTTAATCTAGCCTAGTTACTACTATTAGATAACTATATATTAATATTATTACTAATAATAGGGCTCTATACACTACCCTAGCCTAGGTATACTATATAGATGAATAGCGTTAAGCCCTTACCTTACTACTAAACGGTTATCTAATTATTATTAGGAGTAGGAGGGTTTAGCTAGAGTAGTTACGGAGTAGTTATCTAAGTTATGTTAACACCTTCCTAATCTAGAGGGCTAGGGTCTTAGTAGAGGCTCTATATAAGATAGAGAAGGGATATAAGCCTAGAGGGTATTAGGTAGATTATAGATAAAGGGGTCCCTTCCTAGATTATCTTTAGTTAGAGGGGTTCTAGGGTAGTACCTATAGGAACTATAAGTAGAGAGATTATAGAGCTTATTATTTACTCTACTAATAGAGCTTAGAATAGATTCTCTCTTCTTCTTTTTACTCTTCTTTTCCCTTAGTCTACTCTTTATATGTGCTATGCCCTAGTAGAAACCTTCATCTAATATATAAATTTAAGTATAAATTATTAACCGACGTCTCCTTAGAATAGCTCTCTATAGGGTATAGAGGCTATATTCCTACTATTATTATTATATACCTAAAGCGCTTTCTATATTACTTCTTTCCTAGTAGAGCTATAGAGTAGGTAGTTACTAATAAGATGTTATAGTATTTATGAGGCGGTATTATTATAGCTATAGTTATCCTAGGCTATCTTACTAAACCGTAATAGGTAGGCTTTAAAGTAGCTATAGTTTAGTTTTAATTAGAAGTAGGCTAATACTTCTAGTTATCTATACTTAGGGAGTTAGATAGACGTCCTTAGTTTAGATAGGAAGTTACGTATATATAACCTCTAGGATAGTATTATCTATGCTTCCTAGTATTATATAGTATATACTATCTATTCTATTATAGTTCTTTATTATACGCGCATCCTAAGGAGGGTAGTACTTAAGTAGTTATTCTCTAGGGTTAGCTTAGTAGCCTCCTTTATAAGGGCGTCTACTTATAGGTTTCCTCTAATCCCTATATAGCCTAGGGCCTATAAGAAGGTAAGACTACCTTATCTAGCTATAATTAAGTAGCCTATATCTATAGCTTAAAGTTATAGTCCTTAACCTAGTAGGTTAGACGGGGTTTAGAGGTAGTATAGTATAGCTTAGTTATCTATATATACTATAATCTATTATCCTAGCTATTTCTAGGTAGCTAACTCTATAGCCCTTATAAGTGCCTCTAGTTCTCTATTATATATAAGCTAGTATGGTCTAGTATTTCCTCTATATCTTACTACTACTCTTATACTATCTTATTAGGTATTATACGCTATAATTCCTATACCTACTCTATTTCCTTTTAGGATAGATGAAGCGTTAGAGTATAGAATAATTACCTAAGTTATATATCCTATACGTCTAATATATGCTTAGGCTTCTTATTCCTTTAGGAGGTAGCTAATCTTAACTTTATATAGAGTAGTCTTTTTCTATAGGGGAAAGGAACTATGTTTAATTAGGCTTTTAGTACCTATTACTAGGTCTAAAATTATGCTCTAGACATGTTTAAGTTATGTCTATTATCCTAGTATGTTCTCTTATTTAAACTTATTAATAATTATACGCACTAGGTATTAGTAACTAAGCTTAAAGAGTTATATAGCGTATACTTAAAGTAACATGTTATGCCTTAGGTAGGGGGGGAGAAGTCCTACTTTAATTTCTATAGGGGTAATTAGGGAGGTCTAAAAGGCTCCTAGGATTTAGTATAGTCTATTATTTTAAAGTATTCATCTAAGTATCTTAGAGCTACTAACTTACTAGAAAACTAGGGACCTATAATCTACTATACTTTATATATAAGCTAGGTATAGTTATTAGATAGTAGTAGGGGATAGTCTATATTATATATTAGCTAGCTATATAAGCCTACTAAGTAATTACTTTACTTAGGCGTTCTAAATTATTATATACTACTAGAATAATAGGCATGTATTAAACTATATCCTAAGCTATTAGATAAGTTACTTTAGCTATACTATATAGTCTCCTAGGAGTATAATTATGGCTTACTTAGCCTTATCTAAGCTTATAAAATAGATAAGGTCTATTTTATCTTTATTAAAATTAACGGCATATTAGGTTCTAAGTAAGAAAAGCTAGTTAGCTTCCTACTAGAGGATCCGCGTATTTTTCTTCTAGCTTATTAAGGAGATTATAATTAAAACATTATTAATATATAAGAGGAATCGGACTAAGTAAGAGGAAAAGAGTTTTTATATATAAATAAGAAATAGGATTAGTAAGACTAGGCTTCCCTAGGGGATTCCTAAAACTATTAGATAAAGGTCCTCTTATTAGCCATTAAAGGAGATCTAGAGTTATTACCTACTAGTAAATGTCTTTACCTATACTAGGAGGGAGGTAGGGAGCCTAATTTCCCCTATTATATATAAGAGCTAGTTATAGGCTACATGATTAAAGGCACCTTATATGTTAAGGAATAGGGTTAATGTCTTATACTATGCCCTCCTCTTATCTTAGATAATATATATAAGGATTATTACTATATTAATTACTAACTTCTATAGTCGTCCGCCTATTTAGGATGGGTATAGAAGGTAGGTAGCTTCTATAAGTACTCTAAGATGTTTTACTATAATGTATTTAAGGACTTTTTCTAGGTAGTTAAGTAGGGAGATAACTCTATATACTTTTAGGTCTATATAATTAGGTTTTCCTAGCTTCTTAAGTATTATACCTACTACTTCTCTCTAGCATTCTAGGTAATATCTATACATAAAGAAGGTTTAGTATATCTAGGTAAATCTTTTAGGATGAGTGTTATACGCCTTAGTAATTATCTTCTAGTAGATCTAGTCTAGCCTAGGGGTGGTGCCTTTAATCTTATAAGAGTAGGCATACTATACTTCCTTATCTATAAGGGAGGGCTAGTCCTATAGCCCTTCCTTATAGTTTATCTAGTTATATAGGGGAACGTGTAGTAGTAGGGGGAAGAGTTTCTAATAGAAGGTAGTATACTTACTATTATATAATGATTAGAGTTAATCTTAAAGGTTACGTATCTAGGGGATTCGCTTAGATTAGGTTACTTTCATGTATACTATTACCTTATAGATAGACTAGGGTGTTTCTTTTATAAGGAAGTTATTCTAGTGCTCTTATTTTACCTACTTAATAGCCATATTATATATATTCTATGCTTATATATATATAACTTAGTTATAATGTGCCCTATACCTTACTTATATAGCGGTTATCCTTAAGGCTATAAGGAGTAGGGACTACTATAGTTTTTATTACTATCTAGGGGTTACCTATAGGATACTATATTTAGCCGCTATCTCTATTACCTTTATAAGGTGTTATCTAAGTTAGTCTAGGTCCTCTTATAAGGTCCTACTAGAGAGTATATATTATGCCCTATTAGGAAGGGCTTAGATAAGTAGACTCATAATCTTATTTAACTCTTCTTAGATGATTTACCTATACTAGGCCTAGTTAGCCTTTTTAATATTAAACCGTAGTAGTAGTATTAGTATGTCTTAAAACTCGTTATATACGATAGTAAAGAGAATAGCATTATAGTTAGATAGGGGGTTCTCTCATACCTACTAGTTAATTACTTAAGTAGTAACTATTAGAGTATATAGGGAGAGGTTAATAACCATTTCTCTTTCTATCCCTATATGAAAGAAGGTACCCGCTCTAGGTTAGTTTTAGAGTTTAAGGCGGTTTTCCTTAATCTATTCATATAGAGCTTCTACTTTATAAGATTAGGGGGAGAGTAGGTCCTATATTAGATAGTATTTATTAAAGTCCCCTATATAGATTATTAGCATAGTAGGGGGGCTATACTTAATGACTCTTTCTATTATATATAGGGAGGATAGGGTGCCTTATTCTACCTTATTATAGATGTTAACTATATAGATAGTATCTTCTCCGTAGGTTAAATCTATAGTAAGGCAGTTAGGGCTAGGGAAGATATCTAGGTAAGGATTTACCTAGATATAGGTAAGGGATTTATTTAGGTAGAGCATTATCTAAGGACGTAAGCCCTATAGGAAGGTTAGGAGAATTTATATTATAGAGGGGTAGAAGATTAATTATATATTAGCTATATTATCTTATAGTATTATCTATAGTTCCTAGATAAATATTAGGTAGATACCTAATTAGAGAGTATCCTAGAGTGCTACTTCTATAGCCTAGGCATTCTAGTTTAAGTTAACTTACATAACTTTAAGGTTACCTAATATATATACTAGGGGGATATCTTTATTAGATAGTAGGGATAGTTTAGATCC